TAAACTAGGACTAAGTGAGACATCCATCCACTACTAAGTAGGCTGATGTAGGGTTGAGGTCTGACTTGACTGACTCATCTAGAACCAAGGCATATCTGATATGTGCCCTAGTCTTGCAACTTCTCCTGTTGGGCCTGACCTTGGTGCACTCTACTGCCTTGATGTTTTCATACAGGACAAAGCATAAAGAATCAAAAGTTGGGATTTAGTGTTAGGTATTGAAACAAAATATATAAAATTTGCAAATGTCATAAACTCACTGAAGTTATTTCTTATCCATCAAGTGCAAATAAGACACCTACACCAACAGGAAGCTGGTTCCTGCCTCTTCCCATTGCAACAACTCCTGCAGCACCACCTCCCCTTGCAGCACCGACTCCCCTACCAGAACTAGAGCCTGCCCTACCACCTCTTGAGCCTCCTCCCATGTGAATCATCCTTCCACCTCTACCTAGTTGTGTAGGCTGTAAAGTCATCGAGTGGTGGGTAGTAGATGGTGAAGCATGAGAAGTTGTTGTAGCTTCTGCAACAACAGGCTCCTTCCTAGGCCTCCCTCTAGTTTTCATAGCAAGAGGAGGAGGGGCTTGCCTAGTGTCTTTCTCAGGACACTTTCTTTTGTTATGTCCCTTTGTGTGGCATAGGGAGAAGGTCATTTCAACCCCATTCTTTGTAATGGTTCCTGCCTTTTTGGGGTTTTCAAAAGGATCCTTGATCCGATTATTTCTAGGTCTCCTAGGTCCAATTTTAATTGGAGGTTGGTCAATTGGCAAGGAGACCTTAGGCCAATGCCTTTCCCCTTCACACGGGGGAATAGATCCTAAACCATACAAAAATACAATTAATACATTAAATTAGACTAAGTTATTAAGTGAAGAGTTTTCAGCTAGTTAGTTTAATACATGCATAAGCTTTAAGGTAGGTGGCCTTGTGGTAGCATTGATTAACAAACTGCTCAGCTTCTTTGCGTATGTAATAAATGGAAGCAACTACATGGCAACATGGGATACCAAGCATGTCCCATTTCCTACAAGTGCAGCTCCTTGTTTCCAAATTTACCACTAGTTGGTCCAAGTAATAGCTGACATTGAATAGTGTTTCAGATGATGGCATGACCTCACATTCAGCTACCTTTTGCTTCTTAATGTCCAGCTTAGCTTGAATTCTAGAACATAGCATGGTAGTTTCTTTCATCATTATCTGCCTCTTAACCACTAGCCTCTACATCAAAGCTGACCTGATATCTTCCATGCAGTAAAGCAAATGCTTTGTTCTGGCTTGTATAATGTAGCCATTGAAAATATCAGCAATGTTACTTGTAATGGCTTCTGTCTTGATGTTAGGGTTAAAGAAAGCTCTACAAAATAATTTTGGGTTGTGGGCTTTGAAATCATTCATAGCATCCATGTTCACATGTCTTAGCTTCTCAAGGTTCTCATTGTAGTTAGCCACGCTAAGCTATAAGCTTTAGCAACCCTCCAAAAGAGCAACTTCAATTCATCTCCCCTATATGTCTTGTGCCAGTGTGCAAAGATGTGTCTTGCACAGTGCTAGTGCTTTGCATTTGGCAACACAGTTGAAACTCCATGCAAGATGTTATGTACATTAATACAAGTTATATATGTTAAACGCATTTCCAAGGCAAGTAAGCAACATAGCATGATAGTGTATGGGTTCAAACCTAATGCTCATCTGAAATGATTTCCATGCCTTCTCCATCCTTGATATCTAAACTGGATTGCATTTTCTTGAAGAACCACTCCTAGGAGTCATTGTTATCACCTTCAACAATGGCCTAACAAACTGTGAACATCTGATCATTGATGTCTCTTCCCACAATTGACATAAGTTGGCCTCCCCCACACTTTTAACCCTTCAAAGCAGATGAACAACCTCTTAAAAGTTGGAGGCTCTTGCTCATTATCAGTAACCAGCTCCAACTTAGCACCAGGGCTGCTACTCTTCAATGCAGCCATGTAACCTCCAAGTTTGTTGTAATGGTCATGCATAGAGCCATGCAACATCCTATGAGCCTTGTACTTGCTCTTGTGTGCAAATTACCTACTCACCAACAATTTAAAAGCATTTCTAACACATTCTTTAATTTTCTTTGCAGGCCAATGAGGCCTTGTCTTGAATACCTCAAGGAACTGGGAAGAAGCTATCCATCTTGTCTTAAGCTGCCTATTCCTCTGCATATTTCTATGGAAAGTATGCTCACCTTTCATAGTCTGGACTACTACACAGGCCCTCCTACTGTCCCATGAAGCATACACATAAAATGGGCAAGTATCAATGCAACTCACACCTAATCTTTGTTACCTTTGACTGTCACTCACTTCAAAATACACATCCCTGCCCTGCAGAATCCCATATCTAGCTACTTCACTCCTAAACTCACCTTTGTTTGCAAATCTCTGGCCTACTTCCCACTTAAAGGTCCCAAAATCAGTGTGTGCAGTTGACACTAATTTGCTTGACTTTCTTTTCCTTCTTGGTTCCAAGTCCTCTTTACCACTGTCAGGTGGAGTATGCACCTCCTCATCACTTTATTCATAATCACTCTGTGGACTAGAACCCTCACCAACTTCAGGTCTTGTACCCTCAGTCCCTCACCCACTTCTGCCCTATATTCTCCTTCCTTCTCTGTATTCAAACACTCAACTGCTTCTTTTTGGATTTTTCTTGCAATGACAAGTAACTTAGCTGTGGTATATTTTACCCTTTTCCTAGATAAAGTGTACTCCTCATCCTCAGTCTCTAATTGATACTACAGCTCTTCATCCAAAATCTCCTCCCTCTCTTCTACCTCTAAATCATCCAACCCTTCCACCTCTTCCCCTACTTTAGCTTCTAGATCAAGACTCTCACCAGCATCTACTTCTTTCACTTCTCTATCCTCTACACCATCACTTTCAACATCTGAATAAACATCACTAAAAAAGCAGCCACCCCTTTCCCTTTGTCTAAATCAGCCCCTTTGCCTTAGTTTGAATTTGCTCCTTTCACTGAAGCTGCCCCTTTCCCTAAACCTGCCTCTTTCTCTTTGTCTAAATATAATTTTGGTGTCTTGTATAGTGGATCATCTTTGTCACTTTCAATACTATCAGCTAGGATCAGCTCATTTATAGGAATAGGGCTATCAGGTCTTGAATCTTCCCACTCATAATTTTTCACAAGGTCAAAGATGGTTTAATTTGTAAAGCTGCAAGAAAGGGAGAAGTTGTGGGAAATATTTTAGCCAATTTGGGATTAGGGTTTATAACATATTTAACTTTTAAAGTATTTTGGTTGGGTAAAGTACTGGTTGGTGGAATGGCAACAAATGGGGTAGGAGCATCTTCTTTGGCCTTTAATGAGCCGTCAATTGGGAAGGTTTAGAAATAGTCAAGGGTGGCTGACTTTTGTTCCTTGGACTAGATCTCACTTGTGGTCCCCTCTTTACAGGAAGTTTTTTGGGGTCTCACACTTTTGGGTTTTTTTTATGAAGTAAGCTGAAGTTCTTTTAGGAAGAGTATTGGGTCATTTTCACCATGTATAACATACACCTCTACAACCCTATGACTAAGAGACACATCTATCATCTCCCTCATAATGTCATCATCATCAACTCTCCTCAACCCACTTTTCAAACTTAGTCTTGGAACTAAGTACATAAACCCCTGAACTTTATCCTTATACTTTCCACACAAAATTTGGCAGACCAAATAATTCTTAGATCCATTACGCGAACCAGACCAAATTTGGCAATGAATGTTCTTTCGTCGTCGGGCTTTTGGTCGAGGAGACATAAATTTCAAGTGTCTACACAAAGTGGTTACTATGTGTTTAAGTCAAACGGATTTTTTTGACTAAACCCTCTCTGTCTCCTCCTTTTTCTCTCCAAAACCCTAGCCTCCATTGTTGAATTTTGAAGGGGCTTCCATCGATTTTAATCGGTGGAAAGTCCCAATCCTTGTTTCTTTATTGTTTTTTTAGGTTTATAATAATGCTTCCTTCTTTTGGGAGGATCCTTTCTCCCTCAAAAGAAAGGGTTTCCGATCTACTTCGAAAGGCAAGGGTTTTTCGACCTCCTTCGAAAGACAAGGTTTATCTCCTCTTTTTGACGGAGAAATTTCTTAGTTTTGAATCCATGGTAGCAGATCTAATGGATTGTCGTGAAATTATTTCATTGGTGAAAATATTATCAAGTTTTCGAATATGAACAGATGAATCAGAAGGAAAACATCCTCACGGCTACAAAGGATCGTTAGATTGTCTCTCCAACAAGGCTGTAATTTTCAGCGATATAAGCGGGAGATGCTCCGTAGTGCAAGATCTACTCGACGATCGTAATTTTTATGAAGGAAAATTCTATTTGATTCAATATCTTATGTATTTGTTAACGTTGAATATCTATTGTAAATGTTGTATGACTTTTAATTAATGAAATATTTTTGCTATTCAAAAAAAAAAAGTGTTTAAGTCGAAATGATTGCGATAATGAGTATTTTAGTTAGAGTTTCGATTTGTTCAATTTCGAATCATCAAGTTTATGATGCAATTTAATTTTCGATCATGTTATGTCACCAAATCTATAATTTACTTCAAAACTATGTGATATTAACTTTACTTTTAAAAAAAAGACCATATAGCTTATAATCTATTAATTCTTTTGTTGCCCAAAATTTTAAATTTTAAAAAAGAAAAAGATAGATAAGTTAAAAATGATTACACTTCCAAAAATAAAAAAATAAAAAATTAATACACACATATCACTTAGAGAGTTAGAGCAAACACATTTGGCTTGCATACACCAAACACGTCACTATTTCTACATCTTCCTCCTTATCACAAGGTGGAAATTACAATACAACATCCTCTTGAAAATTATAAATACCAAAATTCCAATAATTTTCTATTTTTTTTTCTATAATTTTTCATATAATAATAAAAAAAGACAAATAATCCAAGTCAATAATAATAAGAAAACAGCCATATTTTGTCACACAAAAAGTCTTTTTCTTCTACACGCACTCATCTCATATAATGGCGGATAATCCAATATCAAAAATAACATCATCCAACCACACTTCATATTCTTCTTTCATTACTATAAACCAAATTCATTTCATCCATTTCTTCAATTTCTTCTTCCTTTTTCTTAACTTTTTCGTCTTCCTCTAGAATTCTCCCCCTTTTTTTCTCACCAATCTTTTTTTCCAGATCTTCCCATTAATTTTTAATTTCTGGGTATTTTTCTCTTCAATTTTATTGGTTGATTTCATCGATTTTTGCAAAAATGGCGGTTGCTATGGCTTCTGGGAGCTTAGCTGGAGCTCATACTCTTTGCAGAAGTAAAGATGTCCCTTTTTCTGCTAAGGCTGTGTTTGGTATTTTTTCTCGGAGGCTCTGCTTTTTTCCCCGGCAAAAGTATGATTTTATTTTTAATTTATTTTCTCTTTTATTTGTCATTTTTATAATGTTTAAAATGAGATGTTCAAGTGATATAGACAAGATTTGATCATGACTTTAACCAACTAAGCTAGCTAACATTCACGTATCACTTTGGGTGTTTTGTTAAATTTTGTTATGGTTTAGTATCATGTTAATTGATTGTTTTGATTGGGCATTGTTTGTTATATACTCGCTTTGTCTCTAAAATTTCTTTGGGAAAATAATGTTGGTGACCTTGGTGTAGCAGATAGTGCAGATTTAAATATATTGCAACATTGAACTGATATTGATGTTGTTAGTCGATTGCTTTGGATGCCTATTGCATATTATGTTAACTTAAATTTGATTTTAATACCAGTATGATTTTCACTATGAATCAGCTTAAAATTGATATTGTCAGTTCATTGCTATTGATGGGTATTGTATATTATGTTACTTAGCTTAAAATTGATTTTAATATTAGTTTGATTTTCACTATGAATCAGCTTAAAATTGATGTTAGTTGATTGCTTTGGCCCAAGTTTTATATATTATGTTGCTCAGCTTAGAATAAAGTCATAAACTTTAATATCAGTATGTTTTTCACTATGAATCAGCTCAGATTTGATAAATGGATTGCTTAGAAATGAAACATTTTTTAACATTACTGTTCTTTGTATCAGATTCTCGGTATTGACAACACCAATCTCTGTTAGTCCACAAGCATCTTTGTCTACAGCTGTGGAGGTATTATTAACTCAATTTATGGCTGTGGGTTGAATTCTATGATCTTCAGTTTGCAAATTATGGTTATGATTGTTTTCGTTTTGTTTTGTTAGGATGGAAGCTACCGAGAAACAGAAGATGTCCCGACCCCAAAGGTTATAATAGATCAAGATTCGGATCCAAATGCAACTGTTGTGGAGATAACCTTTGGTGATCGTCTGGGTGCCCTTCTTGATACTGTATGTTACCCAATTATGTTGCTTATTGTTGTTATTGCTATACTCTGAATACTCATATATACGATGATACAAATACTCACCCTGGCTAGGTTTAGCTGCTTTATTTATAGTTCAAATTACAGTATCATGATTCAATGTGACTTCTGATTCCGGACAGAGGGAGTATATATATTTGGTTTACTTTGATGGTTTTATTATTATAATTACTCTGCGAACTTGTGATTACTCTGCTATGGTACTCAATGCTACCATCACGTGATCATTTACAATCTGGTTTCCAGATGAGTGCACTGAAAAACCTTGGGCTCAATGTGGTGAAGGCAAATGTCTTTCTGGATTCATCTGGGAAGCACAACACTTTTGCCATCACTAAAGCGTATGTCTGGTGCCGTTATTTGGATTCTATTTTTATTGTTATTTTGCATTACTAATTGAAAATATGATTGTTAATTCTTTCTTTCCTCTTTTTTTTTTCCCGCATGCTCAATGCCAATTCTATGTGCTTTATAGTGAGTATGTGAGGCTTGCCAATTTTGTTATCTGTTTAATGTCTTTCATCATTTCAGTGTTTTGAGTTATTTTGTCTGTTTGTCAGCACTTAACAGCTTCTGCCAATCCTCTTTTTCTCCTTTGAATCCGTTGCTCGATATATTTGTTTTATAACTGAGATTGATAACAGATATGAGCTTTTGCAAGCTGTCAGATGTTTGACACCTTTACTTCTGCTGTTTTGCTCCTATGTTATGAAATTAAAGTTAATTTAATTATTTTTATATTAAGCTCTGCAAGCTCTTCTATACATTGCATTATCAACTGAGCATCTAAAAAAAAACTTGTTAGTACTTGTACTTGTAATTATTGTCACATGCTATTATGGACAGTGCAATGGTAATCATAATAAGAAATGCCCTTTTCATGTTTCAGATTGATTGCAGTTTTGCTCATGCACGTAATATTTCTATTTTATTTTTTAATTGGAAATCTGCATCCCTATTAATATAATGTGCTGAATTTTTTGTAGTGATACTGGAAGAAAGGTTGATGATCCAGAGTTGCTGGAGTCAATTCGCTTGACTATTATCAATAATCTGCTTCAATATCATCCGGTATTTCTATCTTTACCAAGTTTTTCTCAAGCTTGAGATTCATTATGATAGCAGAGGAAATCTAAATACTATATATAACTTATTGTGATATTCTCTTTTTTAGGAATCAAGTGAGCAATTGGCTATGGGAGCAACTTTTGGAATCTCGCCGCCAAAACAAGAGGTTGCACATCCAATGATCTTCAAACTTGATGTTATTTTATGAATTATGTCTTGGATTTTGCATTGTTCATGTAGTATTTGACAGTAATTGCATAATGGACCGTGTTGGTCAAGAACAATATTGTTGTACTTCTTTTTCAATCTCTCTTCCCTTTCAATAAAATACATTTTAAAAAAATATTTTTTCAAGGGGCAAATATTTGTTTTCCTGTTTTGCAATAAAGACATTTTTCAGGAAAATCCTGGTTAGATGAAAGAACAATCACATCAGTCAAGAACTCTATGTTATTAATACTAGTGCAAGATATCATAGCTGCCTTTATTATTCTCGAGTTCATTTTTTCATCAAGCTGTTTGACTATCTGTATGCTTTAGTTTACTTTGATCGCCTTTTTTTTTTTTTTTTTTTTTTTTTTTAAGAACATCAGGCATTGCAGAAAACATAAAGTCATATACCTCCCGTTTGATGGTTGGTTTCTTTTATTTATTATTTTTCCCCATCTCTTAACAAATATAAAATTGGGCAGGTTGATGTGGATATAGCAACGCATATAAGGATTAAAGATGATGGTCCGAACCGCAGGTAATGTGTTGCATGTTTGTTATACTTTATCTTTTGTTTATTTTTATTTTTTTATTTTTATTTTTGGCAACAATTTGACTTTTGTATTATTCTTATATCAACTTTGACCACAATTTTTTTACCATAATACTTCAACTATTGTTTTTTTTTTGGTAAATAAAGAATTTTATTACCAAAAGTAAAGAGTTACTACCCATAAAAGTAGCAACTTCAAGAAATGAAAGTTCAGTACATGCCCTCTGGGCCAAAGAAGCAACAAAATCAAAGCCCGAAGGCATTACAAAGACAACAACTACGGAACCTCTAACTAACAAAGGGAGAGGAAACCGAAGCTACAACCAAAAGTGGGTAATAAACCCAAACATCCAAAGATAACAAATAAGGTGAGTATAAAAAAGCATCAGCTTAGCTTGAAAGCATACACCATCCGCCAGCATCATCATAAGAAGCAGCTTGATAACAATCCCACAGTCAGTCTGCCACGACAGAACAACAACATGCATGCAGTACAAACCAGGACAAAAGATCGCAGCTATGAACCATCATCCAGCAGCACAAACATAAGGAGGCCCAAGCAAGGCAGAGAAGCATAAGATGCCACGACAAAGGTAGAGCAACAATTACCACAACAGAAGAGGCATAAGGAGTCCTGGTAGAAGCAACAAACAAGGTAGCAATAGGAATACCACCCACCATACAATCCAGGCCATCAACTAGCACCTCATGCTAGGAGACACCACCAAACACAAGGCAAGCTAAAATGACCAAGACTCAACCATGACAACCAACCTCCACTAAATAAAACAAAGGAAAAACGCCTTCCACCAGCATCACCATAAAATCCGCTTGATAACAACCCCGTAGACAGCCTGCCAAGACAGAACAATAGCATACATGCAGTACGAACCAAGCCAAAGGATCGCAGCCATGAACCATCAACCAGTAATACAAACACAAGGAGGCTCAAGCATAGCAGGGAAGCATAGGATGCCAAGACAGAAATAGATCAACAACTACCATAAAGGAAGAGGCATGAAAAGGAGTCTAGGTAGAAGCAAGCAACAAGGTAGTAATAGGAAACCACCCACAATACAACCTAGGCCATCAGCTAGCACCTCATGCTAGGATAGCATAAAAAATAGGGCCTCATCCCACTACACACCAAGCAGGCTAACAAAGCCAAAACTCAACTATTACAGCCAATCCCCCAAAAAACCATCCACCATCAATAGGCATAATCATAATATCACAACTAAATAACAACCCAGAAACCAGTTTTCTAGGACAACGGCATGGCAAGCATACAATACAAAACAAGACAAAGGATCGCTACCATGAATCATCAACCTACAACACTGATCACTAGGAAGCCTAAGCTGAAAAAGTAATGCAAAACGCCTAGATAGTAGTTACAACCAAAGAAGCAATTCCCAAATTACATAAAGATAATAAACGGAAAGCAGAAAGCAAAATCAACCTTCCTTTTACAGACAACAGGGATTACCTCAACCTCTACAAATCTGCAATTCAAGGGAGCTTCCACCAACCCTCGAGTTCAACCTCCAAAAAGAATCCCGCAAAATCCCCTGAGAAAGTCAAACCCAGGATAAATAGCAGCCCCTAACAACAACACGCAAGCCAGGGAGACTCCCAGCCACCCGCAAACAAGTTCAGAACACATCACCAACCTTGAGCCAGAAAATCGAGGGCTTAATCGCAACCCCAAAAGCCTGGAATCAGCCCAACAAACACCAATTTCAGCGATTTCCGGCTGCTGGGAAAAAGACCAGACCCGAAACACCACCCAGCAGCCGATTGAGAACAGAGCACAGCCCCGACAACAGAACGCCAACCAAGGGTTGAAGACAACCGTCGAATCTGCACTCGACGACCACTTTGAAGCGCACCCCAAACCCACTGAACTAGACCCGTCACCAGCGAAAAAGACCAGAAACAACAAAACTCCAATCACCGGCGAACTAGCCCAGAAATCGACATCATCCTTTGAACGAGAATCCAGAAAAACGAGGGTTTGATTTGAAAAATCAAAGCCCCAAAAACCCAGAATTAGCCCCACGAATGAAAAGACCAACACTTTCAGCAAATTCCAGCTACTGGGAAAAGATACGACTCGAACCACCGCCCAGCAGCCGATTCATACAATACAATCACCGGAACAAAGAACCCTTCTTCAATCTTGAAGGACGAAGAAAGGATCCGAGAGTTCCAAAAGCTCTTAGGGTTTGTATTTTGAAGAAATTGAAGAACAAAAATCCTGCTTCCCTAATCTAGCCCTTTGAAGAAGGAATCCGATGAAGGCAACCACCGGACCCTACTTCAAAGGGCTAGAGAGAAGCTAGAGATTCTCTCTCTAGAAACAAAACCCTTTCCCTAACTATTGTTTTTTTTAGATGATCTGTTTGACTTTTAACTTTACTAGGGCAGCAAACGCGCGCGATGCGCGCGTCATAGCTAGTCATATCTAGAAGGTTTTTTTTGGTTTGGCTTTTAAATCACAAATTTAGTTAAATTAACTATAAGAGAAAATATATAAACAACTATGTGGGTAGTATAAATGTTCAAGATAATTAACATTAATGAAAGCATAAAAGTAAATAAATATTTTAGAGGGTATAGTTGTCTAAACACTAATCATTAAAAGTAGCTTGTACATATTAATGAGGGTATGTATGTAAATACACATTTTGAAGGGTATAATTGGTATTACACTATTCATAAGAGTAGTTTTCTACTTTTTATAAGGTAGAGATTCACATAAGTTACTTTGGTCGTCTTTATTTTATACATAAGGTAAATTATAGTCTATGTGAGATCTTATTAAATTCATTTCTATATTAATAGTACAATGTTAATGTTTTAAAGATATTCATTGCCAACATGCCTACTTGAAGCAGGTCATCTATATAAGCTATTCCGTATATAAGAACAGAGGAAGTATATATTATAATGTTAAAATATCAAATTTATTCATTTATTTATTTAATTGTATAATATCTATCAATAGATGATAACAAATTAATGGTTTAAATTGTGAATTGGTAACTGTGAAAGTAAAGTTGTTACTGCTAAAAAGAACGGAGAAAGCCTGTGTATTATACTTATTTTGTTTACTACTTCGGATTAACTTTACCAAAAAGTGGATCTCTGTAATAGTCTATTGAACTAAACTTGTGGGATGAAATATATGTTCAAGTTTGTTTAATGAACTCAGTATACTAGGTTGAAGCTTTATTGCTTAAAAAGGTTACAACTGTTACAAGTACTTTTTCTTAAATATAGTTTCCATTCACTTTTGAGGTACAAAGCTGTGAAAATGTAAGGAGGCCTGCTGAACTATCTAAGGTCTTTGATAAGTATTAGGAGCTTTGATTACAAAAATGTACTTCCGTGTAGTGAGTCATACAATGCTTTTGAATTGGTCGCTTTTCCATATGTGTAACCTATTTGTAGATCTTTACTTCCTAACCTTCTTATCAAGTATTACTATTTTCTAATTGCTCCTTCAAATCATTGCTCAACATTTATATTTCTGCCCTGTTCTCCTTGCCTTGTGTTATCTTATTTTAGATTTAGTAAGTTTAAGTTCAGATTCAGATAAGTTAAGGTAAGATAAGTTCAGGTTTAGTTATTTAAGGGTAAAATTATTTAACTATTTATTAAGAGCTAATATGCTTCAATAGTTCAGACTAAATAAGTTAAAATTTTTATTTTCTCCACTTTATTTTCAAACAAGATAAACTCAGGACTAATAAATTTATAATTAATTCCTGACCTGACCCTTCCCTTATCTGTCTGTTCTTATTATCCATCCTTGCCCCTTTAAAGAAAAAAAGAAATAAAATAATAAAAATAGACCCTTGATGGGGTATAAGTGTATCAGCATCTAATCTACTACGTTAATTTGTGATTATGACCCTAAACTACAGATCTTTCAAGTGAATGATTACTTACTGCAGTTTTCCAGATATTTACTTTGTTAAAGGTTGTATTTAACAAATAATGTTCATCTTGCAGCTTGCTTTACGTTGAAACTGTTGATCATCCTGGATTGTTGGTGGACCTGGTGAAAATGATAACTGACATTAATATTTTTGTTGAATCTGGAGAATTTGACACTGAGGTAACTTTAACTATCTCAGCACTCTCTTTTGGAGTTGAGAGTTATTTCACTTGTTGGACATCTGCATATATGCTAGCAATTATGTATACTCCATACATTTTTTTCCTACTGAATGAAAAAAAATTTGGCTTGCTAATGATTGAATTTGGAGAGGTTCAAAAGTAAACTTTCAATGGCTTTGAAGAGTTTGTTTGTTTTTTGTTTGTTTGTTTGTTTTTTTTTTTTTTGTCTTTTAACTAGTGTAAATTTACTGAGCCTATCCTGTAATTCCTCGACTTGCTGTGAATTTTGCCTTTTTCGCTGTCTGTTGGCTGCTTTAATGGAAATTGAAAACAATGAAGGCGTAACTCAATCAACGCTTTCAATCAATGTACAGGGTTTACTTGCAAAGGCCAAATTTCATGTCAGTTATCAGGGTAAAGCCTTAATAAAGCCACTCCAGCAGGTAAAACTTTAACTAATGACATTAGATTCTTCAGTGAACATTTGTGGTTTATGTCAGTAACGCTAGTCTAACGAGTTGCAATTGCTTAGGTTGTTGCAAATAGTCTGCGGTACTTTTTGAGACGACCAACAACAGAGGATGCAAGTTTTTGACCTGTTGAAAAAACAATGAAAACTAATTGGACAGGTATATTAATGATTATGTCATCATGGTTCAACTATTGCAGCTATTCTTGGTTGAAACTGTTGTAAAATTCATCATATAATATGTAAGAAATTTAAACAAGCACATTTTTTATACAAAATTGATGTACCTGCTTCTGTAAAGTGATTTATGTGAAACTCAGAAAGTGAGTACACCCCTAGACAGATTTGGTCTTTGTATATTTGAGCTCCACATAATCCATGCAGAAATTTTTTAACTTTAATATATGTTCTCAAACGCTCAGTTTATGCTCTTTGTGATGGCTTAAGGATCCTTGGTTCTTCAGTATCAAGCCGCACAATATTGAAAAGTGAAGAGGCTCTCTGAGTCAAAAAAATAAAAACCAACTGATTCACAATTGAGGATTGGTTTGATGCTTGGGTTTATAGTCATTTGGGTTTATTTATAAAAATTTTGCTTGGAAGTAACTTGTATATGTGAGAAGACAAGTCTTATAGTTTTTCTTTGGCACAAAATTCCTTAAAACAATTGAATTTAAGTCCTTTAGGGGGCGTTTTGTATAGTAGTTTTAGATGTGGGAAACGGATTGACTTTAGTGTTTCCATTTCTAATTGTTTGGTATGAGTTAAAAGTAACAAATATCGTTTTCAAAAGGGTAACAAAATCTCCCAATTTGTTACCCTTGACAAACTAGTGGAAACAAAATACGTCTCCTTACTCAATCACAATCACCTCAAATTGTTTCCAATCCATTAGGATACCAAACATATAGTAAAGGTAACGTTTATCATTACCCTTTTCCTTACTTATTTGAATCCTTTCCGTTTCATTTACAATGTTTATACCAAACACCCCCTTAAAGTAAAGTTAATTACAGAGTACGAACTAAAAAATTAATTTAATTTGATCCTCATCTTTTCATAATTTTGTCAAGCAAGGGTGAAATGGTGGGTAATAATGATGATGAATTGTTTAATTAGATATTTAGTTCTTAACTTGAAGGTAGTTAAATTTATGGAATTGCTTAATGAGGTAATTTTACTGGTAGTTTTCATATTAAACAATATACATTGGGTCTTGAAGAGTCTTCGTGGAACTAATATATTGGAACTAAATCATCTTTGTGGTGTTTGATTTGAAATTAACTCACAAATATACATTGGGTCTTGAGCATTGAGCAAGGCAAAGGGTGCCTATCCACCTCCATCAACTACCAATTCAACCACTGCTATTAAACATAAATGCGCAAACAAAAGATTGTAGATATCTGTTATGTATCCGTATGAAATCATAACAATAGAAACCAACAGTTCATACATCTACAATAGAGCACCAGACAGTTCCTTAAATGAATCCAATATCATATCACGCTAAAGAAAAGGACTTAAATTGTTTCTGCACACTGAATACATAATGAATCTAGAAAAGGAATGAACCATCAAAATCACTAACACAATGAAACTTTTACACAAGTCTCTAAGATCACATGACTTGATATTCCGAGGAATGGAAGCAGTACAACAATTGTCCTAATATCACAGCAAAAGAAACAATGTTCTAACAAAAATTTATTACTCTAAAAATCTCAAGTGGCTAACTTGTTAGTTGATAGAAGCCATGCTTATTATGAGTTATGTACCTTTGGATCTTTCTCGGGATTCACTAAGTTCTCAACATAAGTATCTGCATAAAATATTCTAGTTGGATTACCAACGATCCTTCCACAAGTCTCTTTCTGCTGACTAGTAATGTCATAAGATATCAGTTTCGTTTCAAAAAAAGATGAAGTTAGAGCGAAAAGTTTACCAGAGTGTTCATCATAAGTAAACCTTGAAACTATTGCCAAATAGATCTGTTGAAAGAAGTTATATGTATCTAAACTCGAATTTAGGCTATTGTACAGCTCCCACCGGCTTTGGGGCACGCGCTGTCCAACATCCTCTCTCATAATCCATATGCTGCTACTCTCAGCAGAAATACCAATTACTGCTAAAGACTTGCCAAAAGTAAACAGAAACTTTAACATTGTCCTGTTAGGCAATTCAACACATCGAAATTCCTCTCTTTTAAAATCCAAGGAAAGAACATGTGTGTATGTGAACTCGCCATCATTTTCATCTCCATTTCTCATCATCCAAAGCGCAGCCCCTTGACAGAAATGATGCTAAAATTGCTTATAAATATACGAAATTGAATCATTCATCTCAACAGTCTTGGTCTTCCAACAATGATTTTTACATGAATAAACCTTGATCTCTGAAGACAATTCCTTGATAGAGGTTACATACTTTGCTCTAAATCCAATCACCTTTGTAATCTTCGAAAGAAGTATCAAACCCCAGAAACAAATTCGTCCATGGGGCGGTCACGCCGGTCAGGCGGACAAGGAGGAAGCGTCGAAGATTTTTTCACAAAGGGGTTACATATCCTCAAAATTGGATACAGTGTATGTGTAACACAATCATCTTGGAACAAAAAAAAAACCATTCAAGATATCCCAAACCTTGCAATCTTTACCTATAGTAGTAATTTGGACAATTTCTTCAAGTCTGAAGTTAACAGCTCTGATATTTTGATCAGTCCATCCCTTGCGTCCAATTCTTTCAATTAGTAGTAAAGTATTCTTGTAAGAATTGTCGTTGAAATATTGACAGTGTGCTGTAATGAAAACAGGGGAATCGATGAATGTACGACAAGATTTGCAGACACCTCGTAATCGAAGTTGTGTTTTCACCGGCAGCTTCTAAAATACCACTGTCCATAAGTCTGGGTGTAACTTCATGTCTTCTGTGTTAAGTTTTCATTTTCTGGGTTTGCATTATAACTAGAGATTTGGAAGAAAAGGGCTGTTGTGAATAGAAAGAAAATGAATGATTGCTTGAGTTGTGGAGTGTTTGTGTAATGAATAAATGATTTGTACGGCTTTTATAAGAGAAGCTCCCATATGTTAAGGGCGGGAAAATTAACTACCAATGAACTTAAAAAGTTGTCATGATAGAAGCAAAAAAAGGAGAATTTTTTTGGAGAGTATTCAACTAACCAAGTGGATTAATCTTATTTAGTTGTTTATTTCACAAATGAAGGATTTGAGATAGTAAAAGATTAAACCACCCCAAAAGGTCAGCAAGAGGTAGGAAGAAAGCAACGAAATCCAGCATGATGTTGGCGTTACTCGTCGTCTCGTCAATAACAAATAAGAATGATTAGTGGAAAATTTCAGGCAACGATTGATGAGTACAAACTGTTTGAATTTGCAGTGAACAAACAACTACAGCACTACTACTATTTCATTAGTTTGGACTGATTTTATTAAGCGCGGGGATTGATAAGTATAGCCGTATGGGTATGATGGGAGCGAGGTTTGATACAAAGAATCAGATCCTAGAAGAACTATTGTAACACAGACACTAACACATTGTTCTTAAAAGAAAAAAAATTTGCTTAACTTTTCGTAATAATGCAGGAATCAAAATTTAAATGTCATGTCTGCTAGCTTAGCTAAAACATTCTGTGACGCTGTTATTTTGAGATTTCTCAATTTAATAGCCACCTTCCTTCGCCTTATCAATAAAACCTAAATTGAGCAGTCAGAACAGCATAAAGTACTGCCTTATTTCATTAGAAAATATTTTTTGACTAGTGTATTATTGTCAGGTTGTCACAAATTATGCTCCTGTGTTTACCATATGTCCATATTAGATAACTAAATGATAAATGTCGTAGGCGTTTCTTGTGAGATATGTAGCCACTGCCCACTGGCCTGTTCTGATAAGATATCAGTTTGTTGGGTTAAAGAATACTTGAAAATTCAGAGGGACAGATTGATTTAGGTTTTTGTATCAAGTGATCAGCAATATATATTCACATCATCTTGCAACATTCCTTGTATAGCAAAATAAAGTTCAACAACTCAGCGGTCATTGTTCCCCGCTTATTCTCAGATTCATTCATCAAATAATGATACAACGGTATGTACTGCTAAAGTGCTAATTCATCAGTTTGGACATCAATTTTATTATTGTGCAGATTGTTAAGTATTGGTAAGACGAGAGGTTTTGGCCGACACAAAGAATCAGATTCTAGAAGAACTTCTATTAAAACAGATACTAACCTATATTCAAAAGTTTCACTACTTTAAAGCCAAGTATGAATGAGCATAACTTTCGTAAATAATGCAAGAATGAAATATACAAATCTCATGTCTGCTAGCTTAATGTAAACATTCTGTGACGCTTTTATAGCAAATACCATTGCAAGCTAGGCAAAGGGTGCCTATACTACCTTCATCAACTACAAATTTTAACCACTGCTATTAAACATGAATGCAAAAGTCAAATTTATAGGTATTTGCAATGTATTTATATGAAATCATAGCAATAGAAACCAACAGTAGTACATCTATGGTAAAGCACCAAACATAGCAATGCTAAAGAAATAGACTAATTAAATTGTTTCTGCACACTGTTTACATAATGAATCTAGAAAAAGAACGAACCATCAAAATCACAAAGACAATGTAACTCATACACAAGTGTCTAAGATCACATAACTCGACATTCCGAGAAATGGAAGCAGTACAACAATTGTCCAAATATCACAAAAAATAGAAATTAAACAATGTTTTAAGAAATGTGTATACCTCTAATTGGTTTACTCTGAAAATCTCAAGTGGCTAACAGCTTGTAAGTTGATAGAAGCCATGCTTATTATGTACCTGTTAATCGCCTATTGATCTATTTAGAGAGTCACCAAGCTCTCAACATAAGTATCTGCAAAACATATTCGATTACCAACAGTCCTCCCACAAGTCTGTATCTGCTGGCTAGTAATGTCATAAGACATCAGTTCCGTTACAGGATAACGCGAAGTCAGAACAAAAATTTTACCAGAGTGTTCATCATAAGTAACCCTTGCAACTATTGCAGAACACTTCTGTTGAAAGAAATTATATGCATCTAAACTCGAATTTTTGTTATCGTACAGAATCCACCGGTTTTTGGGCACGAGCTTTCCATTATCCTCTCTCATAATCCATATATTGGTACTCTCAGCAGAAATACCAAATACTGCTAAAGATTTCCCAAAAACAAACAGAAACTTTATCATTCGCCTGTCAGGCAATTCAACACATCGAAATTCCTCCCTCCGAAAATCAAAGGAAAGAACATGGGTGTATTTGAACTCGCCATCTTTTTTTCTAGCTCCATCGCTCATCATCCAATGCGCAGCCCCTTGACAGAAATAATGCTGATGCAGTAATAC